ATGACTTATTAAATTACTAATTTCACAAGTAAAATATCTAATATGACTTGTAAATATTTTTGTGTCACATTAAAATGTCACTTGTGAAATATTCATCATATATAAATCCATTCATAACTTGTTAAAATTACTTACAGCACCTATAAAACATCTAAGTTTTTTGTAAATTCCCTTATATTATGTTTGGATGTATAGCGATTTTGTTTAAATTTGAGCTAAATCCATTGTTTGGAATATTAAAAATATATGGATTTGGACTTAACTCGAATCCAAATTCAAGTTTTATCTCAATCTCTCAATAATTTAAAAATCTGTTTAAATTCCTAATATTTTAAATTCTATCTCAATCTCTTTGTAATTTCACTGGCCCATTGGTGGTGATAAAAAGGACCATATTGCCACCAACGACCAAGATTGGATTGCTGCCACCGTTGACTAAGACTAAGCTGCCAGAGCCAATTGGAATCGAATGGCTGACTTTCTTTTAAACTAGACTACCAGCGTCAATCAAGACCAGACAACCAACTTTCATTGAAACCTGATTGTTAGCATTGATCATGATAGGACAAAAGACATTGATCATTATGGTGGAATCCAATCTTTTGATCTTAGTTGCAGGCTTACACTTTGGTCTCGATTAGCTTAAGTGATCTCGTCTCAGGCCATGTCAGCCGTCCGGTCCTAATCGGGCCAACGATTCGATCTCAGTGCAAGTTTGCTATCCAATCTTAGTCACTGCATGCACTTCGATCCCAGTGGGCACCGATGGACCGATCTCAGTGAATGTTAGTTGTCTAATCCTAATTGTTGCCTGCACTTCAGTCCTAGTAGGCATTGACGGTGCGATTTGGTGGAAGTTGATTATCTTGTTCCAATCGTTGCCCATGGTATGGTTCTATTAGAAGTTGGTCATTCAATTCTGATAGGCACTAGCGATTTGATCCCAGTGAAAGTCGGTCATCAAGACAACCGACTTTGACTACGATCAGATCGTCGAGATTGTCCGAGTTGCTTTTAAATTTAAATATATAAATTAAAAATTGGAATTTTATGTAAGATCTAAATAAATAATTTTAATATTATGATTTAAAATTTTTTATATCATCCAAACAAAGAATTTGAAATTTATAAATTTTAAATATGAGATTCAAATTCAAAGTCCCAACCCAAATTCATCTATCCAAACACAACCTTATAGTATTTCTTAGCTATGCCAATTAGGACTGTGCAAAAATTCTCTAGTCCTGTCTAACCTAGTCCAATCTGAGATGGTCCTAATCTTGTTTCATCCGTACAGAGACTGGTCCTTCAAGACCAAAAAGATGAAAAAGATCGAACTATTTTTTTGGATTGAACTGAACAAGAAACTAGGCATTTGAACCATTTGATCCAATCAAGCCCTATTAATTTATTTATTATAATTATAATTAATTTATTTTTGACAAATGCTTTAAGTGTAATAGATGCTAAAGAGATGATTGTATAAAAATTTATTGAGTTTGTTTATAAATTATTGTTGTAATGTAGTGTTGTTAAAGTTTGTTAAGTACTATTTTTGTTAAAATTATAAATTTAAATCACTTAGACTATAACAGAAATATTTTTTTATTGTTAAAAATTATTATGGATTTACCATCGTCGTCGTCGTCATCATCATCTTCACAAGTGTTTTTACTATCTTAATTGAGTTTATTATGTTAAATGGATTATTGCCTTTTATAGAAGAAAAAAAAGAAAAAAATAACTAATTGAGTGTTGGACTGACAGGACCAATCTGCTAATCCTATGAACTAAGTCTGGTCCTGTTAATCTTCGAGTTATCATTGAACAAGATTAGACTATAAGTTGCCTAATCTAGTCTTTTTCATGAAAGAGACTGGACTTTGGGGTAAGACGAAATCCAGTGCTGTCTTATCCTTTGTGCGGCCCTAATACTAAAACTTGATAATACTCAATAAAACTAATCAAAATAGCTAACGTAAACATAAAAAAAAGCATAAATACATTGCACTAAATAGCCGATTTAAATATACAAGGTCGTAATATCAATCCTCTAATATCCATGCATCTCCGATTACAAAAAAGATAAGATCAAAATGAAACTATTTTTTAGCCACGTCATCATTGCTTTCTTGGTGCTGTCTAATTCTTTGATGACACCTCCAATTATGCGGTTGTTTCACCTGACACCATCAAAATCCTCTTCAAAGCTCTTAAATTACCCTTTATTCTTTTTATGAAATTCTTTTATAAATTTTTTGAATCATGTTACTCGTTCTTTGTCTTTTTGTTGTGCTTTCCTCTGTTCTTCTTTCTTCTCCACCAATTTTCTTGCCCTACAAAAATTAACATCATTAAATTTGTTACGGATCAACTAAAGTTACTTGTAAATTCTCTTATACAGCTTATCAATCATCTAACTTCACTTGTTATACGTCTACAACACGACACTAACCTTTTGATAACACAAATTATAATTGTTTTTTACAACACAACTTTAATATCATAAATGTGCAGCACTTTCACTGAGCTATTTAGTGTGCAATTTTAACATTGTTGATTAGATTACATGCATAAAAAAAATGTTGACAATCATCCACGTTAAACAACCCATTTTTTTGATACATATGCCATACGCTATGAACCCATATTAATCTATTTCTATTTCAGAGTTTAGATGAAGAACGTGGAGCTTACTGTTAGAGGAGTTCAATACTTACCCCCACTGGAATAGTGAATCCGAATTGGTGTGCGGCCCAATCAATGACCTTCTTGTGAAACCATACAAAATGCTCGAAATGAATCTACACTAGCTACTTATACTGTCTATTGAAGGAGAAGGGTGTGGAATCGCATCGTTCACCATGTCGTTCTTAGCAAGAAGGTTTAAAAATGACAGTTTGTATGTGGAGCTACAGTTGAGCGCGCGCGAGTTGTCATTCAACCATCGTTTATTTGTTTATTTTGGTGATAATGACATTTTTGTGGGAATTGGGAAATGATATTTTAATTTTAACATAATAACCAAATCTTATGAGCCTATGAGGGAAGAAGTTAATGGCTCGATACTGTAAATTCTATATTTTTTATTGATTTATTGATATTTTTCCATTTTTGTAGTAATTTTTTACATTAGTATATTTTCCTGAGAACTTAGTTTTGACTAAACTAACAATTCAACTTTACTTTTCTCATGAGAGCATATAAGGGGGATCTCTTTTCGACAGTTCAAGCTGAAGTGCATACACGAATTTTTTCATTAGCTTTACTCGTGATTTACTAATTATAATATGCAAAGATAAATAGTAAAAATTAAAAATTACACAAGTTATTAATTGCTTTGATCATGTTATAGATCGCATAAAATTAAATTAAACACAAAATAAGACAAACATATAAAAAAAAGGAACAAAACATGGAGCAAGACAAATCAATTTTTTTTTTTATAAATTAGCGCGGGATTCATAGCCAACTAGAAAAAGGAGTTTGGTAAAAAATAATTTCTCGACCAACAAGTTGGTAAAATTTAGACATTCCCGTGGCATAGAGATAAAGGAAAATGCTTTCAAAAGTCAAAACTCGAATTTTCATTCATTTTTTAAGGCGGAAATTTCTGCCACCTCAGATATCAAATACTCCGTCCGGTCCCAAATAGAATACATTTCTGACTTGGACTGTAGGCCCAAAAAATCATCCCCAGACCGAAATGAGTTTAATTTGGTAGAATATGGGCTTGATCATGGCCCAAAAGAAGGTGGTGATATAGGAATTTAGGGTTTTGTACATTGACAATCTCTCGCGAGGTTCTTGTCTGTTGGCACCTGCACTGCGGCAACTAGCTCGGCCCGCCCCTCTGTTGCTGGGGAAGAGGGGAAGTTGCTATGGCGACCGAAGTAGCTCAACCTCATAGCCATGACCTCGTTGAACCAGCCAACGATGTCAAGCTCTTCAATCGTTGGACCTTCGACGATGTTCAGGTTTTCCTTTTGTTCCTCTCAATCCCATTTCCCCTTACATGTTCAATCTAAAATTTAAGCAAAATGTGATGCAAATTGATTTTAAAGTTTTTGTAATATTATTGACATTTCTCGCGTTGATGCCAGATTTCGTCAATATATTGGTCTTGAGCTTAAATCCTTTCCTGCTGCTCATTGGTCTTGGAACTTAGAAGCTATTGACAGAAACGATCAATTACGAACCTTACTCACTCTAGGAAACACTTTTCATGATCATAAGTTGCAAGGTGTAATTGGAAGGTCATAAACTGCAAGAGTGTTGTCGTTTGTCATTCTTCTTCAGTGGCTTTGAGGAGTTGTCTGAATCGATTGGCTTACTAAGGCATCTTCTTCAAAGTATCTGGAACAAAAAGGGTATGGTATCGTCTATGCATATTTCAAATAGTTCGGTGGGAGCAGATGCCTCCGCTGAGTGTAATATAGGTCTATCTATGACTGTGCCGCCCCTCATATTTGTACTGGTTTTCGTTGCTTCAATGGATATAGAACAGTAGCCTAAAATTCCCGCATTTCCTAGTATAGAATCACCTTTTTTGGCTTCAACTATATGCTTGATAGTTTGAGTTATCTTTTGTTGCCATAATATGTGCAAAGAGTTGGACATTGATAGAGCACATCATGTGATTCATGTAGTTGACCTCAATGGGATAAGTCTTCTCGGTGTTGTTGATGACTTTGGATTTTTCTGTTGCCATTAGACCCCCCCCCCCTGATGATTCATTCTTGATCAGGCTCCCTCAACATCAATTTTTTTTAATAATTTTTATTCTTTGGTGTTTGTAGATGCCATGCCATCTTGAGATATGATGCTTGGAAAGCAAAAGAGATTGAGACTGATGTATAAGATCCACTAGTCACTGATTGTTTGAACCAAATGAAGCGCATATGTGAATCAGTTGTTTTTTTTTTAGGAGGGGTCATGAAGAACAATTAGATCTTGCTATATGTATATGCAATCATCAGGAGTCATCTGAAATAGCATGAATGATTGGCATGGATCTTAGAAGTTCTGCCAGCTCTTCTCCACCTCGTCCCAGATGGAGAAAAGTGGCGTATGGTGGTATGCAACCTGGGTATGGTGACAACTATACCGATGAATCATTTCTTGAAGGTATGGTCACAAATGCCAGTGTTGTAAAGAGGGACATGATAAAGGTGATGCTAGACTCAGTTTCCATTTCTGAATATCTGTGCATTGTTGCTCTTGTTGTCTTGGTCTGGACTTACACACTAACTTCAACTCTGGATGAAAATTCTCTGCTGTTTCTTGATGCAAGTCTTCTCGTTTCAGGATTTCTCATTCTCATATTGACTCAAGATATGCTTTCCTTCAATCTTCTCCTCCATTACTTTCTCAATATTTCCTTTTTTATAGCTGGATTATATGTTTTGGCTCCTATATACCAGACTCTAACAAGATCCATTAGTTCGGATTCTATTTGGGCAATAACCGTGTCACTGCTACTGCTTCATTTATTTCTCCATGATTATTCAGGATCCACAGTAAAAACCCCTGTTGCTACAAAGAATCCGGCCTTATCCAGTTGTATCTCTGTAAATGCTTCTGTGGTAGCCTCGTTTTTATTGCGTCCCGTCTCCCATCAAGGCTACATGTATTTGCTATCATGCTCTTCTCATTGCTAGTTTTCCTTTTTGCTCCCCTGGTTACTTACTGTATTAAAAAGTATTCCTTCCGCTTACACTTGTGTGTTTCCATAATGTTGATTGGTTTGACCTTGAGTTTTGTGTACATGCTGGATCGGTTACTTTTTGTGCTGCTGCTTAGTCTGTTAGTATTTGTCAATGTGGTCTGCCCTTACTGGCTTACAAGGCTTCAGGAATACAAGTTCGAGATCAACGGGCCTTGGGATGAGGCTAAGCTTTGTTTTGATATTACAGACTAAGATCACAGCGTATATGGGAATACTATGAGAAGTTGAGGCAACTTTATTGAATGCTAAGTGAGGTTCAGGTTTTGGTACAATTCCCTTTGCATTCCATCGGCATTGGGGCTAAGCATATTTGCTTGGGCTAGTCCAAATTAGGTGCAAGTGTTGTTGCAATCGCTGTACGATCACATCAAATCCTTGACAAATTCATCTTGTGAAATGAAACGCCTGATTGCTCTTGATTGTTCACGTAATAGTTGAGTTACTGGTGAGTTCCATTTTGAAGGCTGTCTGTTGTCTGAAATTCATGTTTGCAATCTGGATGCTGCATCCACTTCTCTGGGAAAAAAGCATGCTTCCCCAAGAAAAGAAAAAAGAAAAAGGGGTGGGGGGCGGTTGGTGTTCGTTCGTTGCATACAATGTCTGTCAGAGCTAGGAGCCAAGTAAATCGAGTGACATTTGATGGGACAAGCACCTTCTTTTGTTCGTTTCCGGGAATTACGTATTTATCATTTATTGTTTATGAACCGTTCTGAAAAAAATAAATTTTATTCTGTGGTTCAGTATATAAAGACATTCAGCTAAAGATTTTAATCAGCTACAGAGGATGTTCGGATTAATTTGGACAATGGATTCTAACTGCATGTTTTGGTTGGGGTTGGCCTAAGTAAGAACAAGATAGATTCTAAGTAAGAATAAGATTGATGTCACGCTTGGATTTTGAATTGGAAAATCAAAATAGAGTGGTCACCATAGTTGTTAAAAGGAATTTAATCTACTATAGTGTGTTTTAATTATTAATTTAGTCTCTCAAATTTAATTTTTATTAATTTAATTTTTACATTTCATAACAATAACTGATATTGTTGACCTTACTATGGATAACTAAATTATAATGTGGCAGTTTGATTAATAAAAAAGGAAGCATTCTGTCGGCATGATAAGAACGAGAAAACAGAACAAATTCAGAAATTTTAAAAGAAAACAAAAAAGAAAACCCTTCATCGCTCTACTAAGGCGCAAAAAATATTAAAAAACTGGTTTATTCTCATTTATTACATTCACACGTAATGTCATTAAACATTTGGATTTTGTAACTGTTCACTCAAGTTTATTTATTGGAAACATGCTATTTTTGTAACTGTAAGCTCAACCTTATTTATTGCACTGCACTGAGCATTCTTCATCAAGTCCTCGGCATCCGGAGCTCCCACCCCTTCATATCCTTCGGCGAACGCCAGATCTGACCTTTGGTCATCGAAGCTTCTAATTTTGTATAGCTACTCCTTTTGTTTCGCAATCTCGTCCTCCGGCATGAGTGTTCTTGCTTTATAAGCATGATTCTAATCTTCACTGAGTATTTCATCAGAAGAAACTTCTGATTCCTTCTCTGACCCACTAGACGATGCCTCCTCTGTTAGCTCTATATCTGAAAAGACGTCGTCTAACTTCATAGACTCCCTTCTTTGTAAAGTTGAAGTTCTTGGTTTTGGTTTATAGTGAAGAAACTGGGATCGTGGGAAAGGTAATTCAGGATGCAATACCCCGACGAAGATGGCGATGGAATGCATCTTCTAGTTGATTCAGAGTTTTAAAAAGTGGATCATCATAAAGATTGAATGAGTTTGCATGATTTTTCACAATTTCTTAATTGATTCTGGGATGCGACAACGTCACTGGTGAACAAGGAGGAAAAGGATTAAACTGGGTGAAAGTGTTTAGGGATAGTGTTGTCTTTTTATATCTTAAGATCAATTTAATTAATATGTCTACAACAATATTCCATTTATTTTTTCTGACCTACCAAACACACTTTAAAACTCAATTTATTTATTTATTTTATTTTTAATTTCAATTTCATTTTCATCTAGTATCAATTTTATTAAAATACTTTTAGCTAACCAAACGAGGCCTAGAAACCTCCAAAGTTAACATAGGTCAGTATGGTTCTCAGCACCAAAACCACGTTGTTTTGTTTATTGATCTGAGCCATCGGCCGTGAAATAATCTCACCCTTCCTTGCGACTGAGAGTTAGTTCCGGTTTGGTTGCTGAATTCAAGGTTTTATGAATGAGTTATGAGAATGGTGCCTAGGATTAAGAACGATGTACTGTTTCACAATTACCTAGTAACTGAACGGCTGTTATTCTTCTCTTGCTTTCATGAGACGGTGCGTTTGATGATAACCAGTGAGTACACAAACCGGATCCTTTGTTTGTTGCGCTTGTGGCACATTCGTGGAGGCGAAGTCAGAGATTGCGTTTCGTGTCCCCGTTCGGGTTCCAAGATTCCCCTCCAAGTAATTGAGCTTCATCATTAGCTTACTCTGGATTTTTGAACCATTTCTATTCTTCAGAGAAAAATCGCTGAGACGCAGACCATTCATAGTCGCTGAACCAGAAATGGGAGTGCTCTCGAACAAGATCCACTGGCAAAAACTTCATCCCGGCGATCACATTTACTCCTGGAGACAGGCTTACATCTACGCACATCACGGTCATCCCCTTTCCTTCAATTCTTTTCCTTCTTCTATACTATATACCAGTTCAATCCTTAATTTTTATAGAACTTAACAACGAGAAAATAATCCTATGAAATGAATTCCATCCTGATTATTGAGTATCCTGTGACATTTATGCCTTGTAAAATTTTGCCCTGTTCATCATATGAGGCACTGAAAATGCCACACAATGCTTGCTTTTCCTCCAAGAAACCAGGAATCTACATCGGTGACGGAATGGTGATCCACTTCACTAGAGGAGCCGGTGAAGAAATCGGCACCGGAACTGTTCTCGACCGTGTCCTCCAAACTTCAATGCCCCCCAATTCCAGTGTTCACACTGCATGTCCGAGATGCGGGGGACAAAGCAGATCTCATGGCGTCATCTCATCCTGCCTGAATTGTTTTCTCTCCGGCGGAGATCTATACCTCTTCGAGTACGGCGTTTCCCCGTGTTTTTTCTCTCCAAAGCCCGAGGAGGCACCTGCACTCTGGCCCAAGCTGATCCTCCAGAGGAGGTGCTTCACCGTGCCTTGTTCCTCCTCGAGAATGGCTTTGGAAATTATAATATATTCAATAATAATTGTGAGGACTTCGCCATTTACTGCAAGACAGGACTGCTTGTGTTCGCGAGCATCGGAGTTGGCCGCAGCGGACAAGCGGCATCGTATGTGGCTGCGGCTAGTGCGGTGGTTTCTTCGCCGCTTCGGTTCTTGACCGCTGGCTTTGGTGGCTTGGCTTTGGTTGGTTGTGGCATGTACTGTGTAAGCAGATTAGCTTCTGATATCGGAGTCCGCCGTGATGTGGCGAAAGTTCCGGTGGAAAGGCTTGTTATAGAGTCGTCGTCAGGTTTAGATGAAACGGAAAGACATTGGGGCTTCTGATATCGAATGATCGTTCGAGCTAGCAGTGGGCGCTGGGTGCTCGGTGGATGTTGTTCAGCTTAATCGGTGCTGTCATTCGCTACTGTTGCAGGTTATGTGGATGTTTCCGTCTGTAAAATGATGCGATGCAATATATGTTCCTTAGTGATCCTTACATGTTGATGGCATTTTATTTATTTATTTTGGTGACAATGACATTTTTTTGTGGGAAATGGCATTTTAATTCTAACATGATAACTAAATCGTATGAGCCTATGAGGAAAGACGTTGATGGCTCGATACTGTAAATTCTATGGTTTTTATTGATTTATTGATATTTTTCCATTTTTATATTAATTTCTTACATCTCCTAAGAATTTAGTTTTGACTAAATTAACAATTCAACTTCACCTTTCTCATGAGAGTGTATAGGGGGCCTCTCTCTTCGACAATTCAAGCTGAAGTGCATGCACGAATTTTTTTAGTTAGTTTTACGTGTGATTTACTAATGATGATAATATGTGAAGATAAATAGTAAAAATTTAAAACTACACAAGTTATTCATTGATTTGATCATGTTATAGATCACATAAAATTGAATTAAACAAAAAAAAAAAGGAACAAAACATGGAGCCAAGGCAAATCATTTTTTTTTTTGGTCAGCGCGTGGTTCATAGCCAACTAAAAAAAGGAGTATGATAAAAAAAAAAAATTCTTGACCAACAAGTTTGATAAAATTGATAAAATTTAAATATATCTATAGCATAGATTTAAAGAAAAACTAGCCATAATCTCATGCATCGCACGAGTTGGCCAATTTAGAAAATAAAATTTAAGTAATAATAATATAGTTTAAATAATTATAACTGCAATATATAACACATGGTCAAAAAGAAAATGAAGTGCTGCTTGATAAAAGTTATTGTCTCCATGGTATGTAAAAAAATGTGACACACACACACACACACACATATATATGAATTACTGTTTGGTATGTAAATTTTTTTTCCCTGAAAGCATCGCTAAACTCTCTTTCAAAAGTCAAAACTCGCTTGATTTTTTAAGGCGGAAATTTCTGCCACCTCAGATATCAAACCCTCCGTCCGGTCCCAAATAAAATAAATTTCTGACTTGGACTGTAGGCCCAAAAAATCATCCCCAGACCGAAAGAGTTTAAATGGGTAGAATATGGGCTTGATCATGGCCCAAAAGAAGGTGGCGATACGGGAATTTAGGGTTTTGTATATTGACAATCTCTTGGCGAGGTTTTTGTCAGTTGGCACCTCCACTGCGGCAACTAGCTCGGCCCGCCTCTCTGTTGCTGGGGAAGAAGGTAAGTTGCTATGGCGACCGAAGCAGCTCAACCTCATAGCCATGACCTCATTGAACCAGCCAACGATGTCAAGCTCTTCAACCGTTGGACCTTCGACGATGTTCAGGTTTTCCTTTTGTTCCTCTCAATCCCATTTTCCCTTACATGCTCAATCTAAAATTTAAGCAAAATGTGATGCAAATTGATTTTAAAGTTTTTGTATTATTATTGACATTTCTTGCGTTGATGCCAGATTTCGTCAATCTATTACAAAGGGAGATACTTTTCTGATTTTCTCATAACAACTCAGATAATGTGTCGAGAATTAATCCAAATATTTAATCTAACATGTTCGTCAGCATCTACATTTCTTGCCCTGAAACTTTCGCGGTTTTTATCCCTTTGACATCATTTATACGCATAAAAAAGACTGAAGTATGGGGAACCCCTTATTTTGATTTCCTATTATTGACATGCTTCTATAGTTCTATTTGCTTGTGATTGCGGCCTAGAGATAATTACTTCTCGATGGTCACAAACTCGGCTTTGCTAAATGATCCATACACTCTGTTGTCCTGTGGCCCACTTCTGCTATTCTTGGTTTGCTTGCATCCTCACATTACATAATGATGGCTTTTTCGATTTGCTTTACATGCGATGGCTTCCAAGATTTTGTTCTTTCTTGAATGACTTAAATTATAACAATTTACTTCTTGTTAAGAGTGAAGGCGTGTGGTTTTGTCCTTGCGATAACAATATATGTTGTTCTGTATTAGTAATTAATGCTTCCAAGGGTTACTAATTATATAGGCAATATGACTGTAGGTGAATGACATATCCCTGGCAGATTACATTGGTGTGGCTCCTGCCAAGCACGCGACCTATGTGCCTCACACCGCAGGGAGATATTCGGTCAAGCGTTTCAGGAAAGCACAATGCCCTATTGTGGAGAGGCTCACCAACTCTCTTATGATGCATGGACGTAACAATGGGAAAAAACTCATGGCAGTGAGGATCGTAAAGCATGCCATGGAAATTATCCACTTGCTCACTGATCAAAATCCAATCCAAGTTATTGTCGATGCTGTGATCAACAGGTATAAAAATAAGAAACAGATATACAAGTGGCCGTCCCCTATTAATTGTTTGTCTTGTATCTAATTCCATGCTACCTCCTCTTTTTCACCAGTGGACCAAGGGAAGACGCCACACGAATTGGGTCTGCTGGTGTTGTCCGACGTCAGGCAGTGGATATTTCTCCCCTGCGTCGTGTGAATCAGGCTATCTATCTCCTCACTACAGGTGCTCGTGAGGCTGCGTTTAGGAACATCAAGACAATTGCAGAATGCTTGGCTGATGAACTTATCAATGCTGCAAAGGGATCATCAAACAGGTATTCAAAAGTCTTCAGCTATATTTTTAACTCTGATGGAAATCAATTATTATGTTTCTGTGGCACTTCTCTAATCTCTTAAAGATGGTTGCTTTCTTGTTTCACTTTGTATGTCACCGTCTGTTCTTCTTTTGCTGATTCTTTTTCTTGGTTTTTTAAGCTATGCCATTAAGAAGAAGGACGAGATTGAGAGAGTTGCCAAGGCTAACCGTTGAGGAATGACAAGAGGCACATGGATAAAAGTTTTGGTTGAGTTGGTTTTGTTTCACACCCTTCCGTGGCTTTTGTGTTTCTACTGGACCTAAATTAAAGATATGATTGATGATTGCTAGCTTGTTTCATTTCTTGAATATTGGATAGTTTTGATTTTATGGACAGATCTTGTTTGTCGAAAGAAGCCCTTAAAAAAGACCCTTCAATATCATTAGCTGTAAAATACTATGAGTCAGTTTGGGTGCTCATCAATCAATATTATGAGCTCGAGAAAGCTGACTTATCATCTCCTTGAGTCTCGACTCTTGAGTTCTTGAGCAGCTAAGATGAATGGATACAAAGAACAATGAAGCATGTTAAATGAAATGTTCATTTCTTTTATGTCTGAGAAGAAAATAATGATTTGTTCTTATGAACGTCTTTGTAAGGCTAACTATGGGGGATGGTCGAACGAAAGAAAATGCCAAGGATTTAAAAAATAAATAAATTTAAACTATTTTTTCAAAATTATTTAAACATCTTCAGCGATCAAAATTAACTTCAAAAAATATTATTTAAGTATGATCATGTTTTGTTAACTATTTTTTTTATAATCAGTTTTTACCAATTGAAATTTGACCACATTCTACATATTTAGAATGCAAGTGACACGATATAACACGACTGAAACGTGGATGGACGTCTTAAAATTATGCCACCCACTTTTCCCCTACCTTTCTACAAATTTATTTGAATGCATAGAAATTTAAACAATTTGCAATATATTTTTGCAAATAATTTTTCTTAGTCATAGTGAACCTCATTTAGTGGGATAGAATTTGTTATTGTTGTTACAATGTAATAAATGTATTGTTTTTTGAATAAGAATGTTATAAATATATAAATTGATTAGAAAATTATTTCTTCATCTCTAAAATTCCTGCAGTTTCTAGATTTTAAATAAACAATTAACCATAAAAATACTTAAAAAATAGTTAAATAGGTATAATTCTTTTAATAATCTTATACTATATATAATGTAAAAGAGAGGTCTCTGGAAATTGTAATCTAAGAACGGGAGTGGCATCTCAAGTATGGATGGAGAGGAAAAACCCAATCTAATCCTCCATCTCTTATTGAAACATGTACAAATCCAATAGGAAAAAAATAATGATGATGATACTAGTATAACCAGAAAAGGCCTTATTCTGTTAAGAATGAATTCACAGCCTAAGCCTGAACTTACAGCTGCTACTAACAATCTTAATCTCATTATTACTTTCCAAGCTATCCACCACAAGCCTGCACCTGACCCTGAACTTTACTTTGAACAGTTTCAATTTCCCAAGCTTCACCCTCACGGGTTGCTTTGCCTTAAGATTCAGAGGAATATTCCCTGTCTGCTGCAGCTGCTCCTGAATCACAGTTTGCAACCCAGTTGCATTCTGTATTTGCCCAGAAAGAGGCAAATGAAGCACTGTAGTGTTCTTATGACCCTGATAGAACTTAGGCAAAGACCCTTCACATAATTTTGTGTCCATGTACCAAGCACTCACATGGCTGCCTCCTTCATAGTGTATTCCAATCTTCTTGTTTGGGTTTCTAGCTGTGACTGTCACGTTGAAAGTTGCAGCCAGATTGTTGTCTTCTGAAAGACTGAACTGGGTTACTCTAAGTCCGTCTATTGAGTATTTGGGAAGCTTCGGCCTGAAAACAAGGAACAGAATTCCTATGGTTATGCCTATTGCTACTATTAGTATCAGCAGAAGGCTTATGGTCCAGCACAGAAACTTGCAGCAGCAGCTTCTTGATCTTCTCTTCTTCGGAGGTGGTTGGGGATGCTCCACCACCTGCACGGCTCGTTCCTTCACCGGCACGCGGTATCGGACTTTGACGTGTCTCTTGGGAAAAGTGGTGCGGAGGGTGTGTGTGGTGATGCCTCTACATCTTGGACTGGGTGAATTCTCTGTTGATGATCAGCCATGTTGGTTCAGGAAATCTCAGAAACTGAAGGTTTCTATTTCTTCTGTTATTTCTTCTATACTTGTGTATATATATATGGATATGGTAGATGTTGATTGATGATACAGGTTTAGGTTTGCAAGAAGGGTTTGAATATAAGAATATTCATAAGGCGCTTGCTCTTATTGACTGTGCATGGCCTGAACCCTGAAGGAAAATATCTAGGCTTGGTTTTCCATCTGAGCTAAAGACTTCTCAGTCACGTGTACCAGAAATTCAGCAATAAATGGCGTCCAGAAATGGCTGCCGTTTGCTTTAGGAATTTCAAACTTTGTATAATTTTGGCCAATAAACGATTTTTTCTTGCTTTTCAAAATATCTAGTATTGCTGCATCTGACCTAAAGAGCTTCACTTTATTTTGGTTTCTAGACCTTTTTAATTACTGTATTCAAAGTTCAAACACTCCAGAATATTATAAACTAGTAGAGAAAAGAAAACTTTGACGCATGCACTTCTGTGGATATCATGGTGTCTTGTACCCATAGGTAAAATAGTCTGAACACACTTGTCAAAGCTTTCAAAGCATGTTTACCTAAAAAATAGCATTAAAAAGTAAAGAAGATATGAAAGTACTTTCCACATTAATCATAATTAATTTGTCAGAGAAATGAGCGTGTTTGATTTACTCCGATTTTAGAGATGGAAGCTACTTGACCATGCCTATGGCTATATATAAACCTCAAGCAAATATATAGATACATGTCAGTCTTTCTTTTTTCTTTTTTGCTTTTTAATGATGGGAAGATGAATCCCCAAATAAGAAGTTGCCACTTTCTGCTTTAAAGGCGTCTTAGAAAAGGCTATAGAACTTTCCTTTCTTGCGTAATATATATATATATATATATATATGTTGAGAAGACCAGGTCATAAACAATATAAAACACAATCTGCACACAACAAACAGCGTACGCGTCTTGTCTAAGGTCTCAAATCTTGACTTTTTGGCTGACAACATCACTGACCTCAGGGCATCTATCATCTTCGTGTGTGTGTATAATAGAGAAACTTTCTGGTTTGGTTCTGTTGTGGGGGAGGAAGTTAGATGTTTGATGTTCAAGTGGCCATTGATGAGGTCACAAGTGGAATAAGTTGGATCCATCAAACAAAAACGTCATATGAGGTTTCCTGTGGTAGTTGTTGTTTGTTTAAACTTGAATGCTTCTGAGAATCAATGTATGGTTCCCCTGTTTTAAGAGTCAACCAAACCTGGCTGCACCAGAAAAAGGTTAAAATCACAATAAATACAAGAAATTTAAAATTCAAATACATACCCTGGTTACAATTACAAAGACAGGAGAAAACTGTATGCCATGTATTTTCAAGCTTTCATAATCCGTACAAGAGAAACCCCAAATTTTAGATGTTTTTATCAACATTAAAGTAATAATTAACGATGAAAAAGACAACGTTTGTATCTATTTCTTTTCTTAAACAATTATTGAGAATAAAATCACATTAGATTAGACGAAAATTATGATAAGCAAAGGTCAATCAAAAAAGTAATAAGTAAAATCTCCGGATAGAAAACTTATTTACTAGTAATTAAAGTTTGATGATGGATTGAAGTTGGCCTGAAGGCATTTTAGTCACTTCACATGTGATAGAAATGTCATTTAGGTCCTTCTTGAGACTTGTCAATAGATAATAGCTTTGCAGATTCATATAACTTAAAGTTTCCTATCGAAGACTTATTTATAATTTTTTTAAAATTAAAATAAACACAATCTTTATCTATAGGAACAATTCTCCTTGCGTAGTAAGAAATCCATTCCAATAATTAACATACCTCATGAAAGGATAAAATTTGACAACCAAATTTGAAAATCTTTTTTATTAGAGGTGATTATGACTTGGATATTAATAGTATCATATTATAGTATTGAAGCGAGTATTATAGTGTCAACTCTATATGAAAGGTTACATGCAAGGTAAAAGTCTTCTACAAGTATGGCCAGACCAAGTCTTTTACAGATTCCCAATTACTGGTTAAAAGTCTTCCACATACTCTGAGGGCCTCGGCCCAAATTCAAACATATAATATAGCCCAATATGTTGACATCATCAACCATGCATCTAGCAGCAGGCAATGGAAACACCATGAGGATTTTTGTTTTTCTTTCAGGTCAATCATCTGTTGGATCATCTAAGAGGCATTTTGGTACATTGAAATCCCTGAGAAGGCCATTGCTCTACCTAAATAAGGACTAAAAATTGAAGTTAATGACTATTGGACAACAAATGATGAGGATGGCCAGAATTTGATGAAAATAGTTGCAATTAAGCAACTTTGAATAGAGGAAACGTCAGGCAGACTTAAGTACTCAGGTACGAAGAATGATGTTGGTGAGAATCCATGTATCACAGATATTTTACGTGGATTCAGCTGTTGTTACAACAATGGGTATCGCGTGAACATCTTTAATGTCACTAAACCTCCCACTTCTTATCCTCTGAAAGTCGAATTCTCTTCTTTTGCTTGGGTTCCAAGAATCAGTTGGATTCCCAGAATTTGGTTTCACTGAAGAAGAAGAAGAAGAAGAAGAAGAAAACCCCACATGCCTTTGTCCACTTACAGTGAAGTTGTTGCATGCAGAAGATTCTTGGCCCTCCATATCAATTACCCCACCAAGGAGTGAACCATCTCTGCTTACTGTCACGTACTTGTGTAAACTAGGCTCCATGACATCATCAATGACATTTACCTCGGATTCTACAAAAGGGTGTTCCTTGATACTAGAATCTGGCACCCTCTTCGCATAGTGATTGGCAGAGAGATTCGATCTTGTACTGGAGTTGAGATCAGCCACAGCTTCAAGAATGGAGCAAACTTTGGCGACACAAGCGGGAAGAGTAACAGAAGGTGTAATATTATTATTGTTCATTTGATGGAAGTTTTGGATGTCTTCAAGTAGTAGCGAGGTGTAAGATTGTGCCGGAATCGCTACGGTTTCAGGATTGAGGAGGAGGTAGTCTAGGTCTCGTGATCTCCTAGACGATCTGCTTCTTGTTAACGTTGATGCCTGGGGCTTAAAGTTATCGAGCCCTGAAGGTGGTATTATTGTTGTCTTCAGATTAACATTCTCAGTCATTGAAGACTGTCCTTTGACCTCTTCTTCCTCTTGTTGCTCCTTCGTCTTCATGCTGCTTCTTCTGCTTTCAGTGTTGCTGTTCGTATCAGCTTTTATTCTCTGCAGTAGGCATTGGCAATAGACTATCAAATCATCAAATTAATTGGATAAACCAGAATCTTATTGGAGTTTTCTCCAAAGTGACTTTTGACAACAACACATTTTCACATTAACAGTAAGTTAAAAGAATTACGAACATGAAATTCAAATGTCACATCGTCAAAGAAGGGACTGTAATAAGAGACCTTAATTCATTCACCCAAACAGAAAATGCCACTATTTCCTGCGGAGAAATGTAAAAGCAAGTTGTCATTACCTGATTAGCGTGTGATTCAATTTCCCTTTTGGGTCTACTTTGGAACCTGCTGCTATTGTTGTTGACAGATTGTGTATAAGCAAGAGAATTAACATCAATCTCACTGAGTGGGTTTCTTCTGTGAGGAGATTGCTCTGCTTTCCTTGAAGAATTACGACTCATTGATGGTTGCTGCTGCTGATTCTCACTGAGCAATGTTACTTTATTACCATTTGCTCTTGAAGGAGACTGAGAACGAGGTGAAGCAGAACCAACATTTCTCTTCGCTATGACCCTCACCGTGGCTCCATCACCATTGTAACTCTTATCCATAGACAAGGATGAAACAGTAGCAGGAACAGAGAACATTTTTCCAGGCCTAGTTGTTGTGTTGTTTGTGAGGTTGCAGGTTGTAGTGTCTGACGATCTTTTGCTTGGAGATCTGCTACATCTTCTCTCTCTGCTGCTTGATCGTTGTTGCTGGTCTCTTTCTCTGCTCGGGGTTCTTCTCCTTCTCTCCGACGAGGGCACGGGGGATCTCCGACGGTTCCGGTGCTGCCGGAGACGGGGTTGGTTCTCTCCGGCCAACCCACCATCGTCCTCACAAAATAAATCATTATTGCCAATGGCAATGGTGGTAGTATCATTCTCACAGTGGTCAAAATCTTGGCTTCTCTTTGAACCAGAGTGTTTCCTTCCTCTACCACGTTCACCAGAAGAAACAACTTTCCCGGAAGAGTTTCGGCTCAGTCTTCCACACTCTAAGAGAATCTCATCTACTTTTGCTTCTGCTGCTACATAATTGGTCATAGGAATTGAAGAAACCCCATCAGAGCACGCGTGTTTGGAAATTTTCTCTCTATCACTAGCACCACCATCATTGCTCTTCCTGTGCTTGATGATAAAGACTTCTTTTTTCACTTGGCTTTGTTCATCTTTTTGCTTGTTCTCCTTTTGGCTCACTAGCCGCTCAGATTCCACTTTGGAATTGAAGACAGTCACAGTTTGGGGTTGAAGTTGAGGTGTGGAAGTAGAAACTGACTTAGCTGCAGAAGAAGACATTTTCTTCTTACTCATACACGTACCCATGGAATTTCTGGTTTGACCTTAACCAAAGGAGCGAAAGAAAGACAAGGGAATGAAAGAGAAAGAAAGGAGTAGCAAGTACCACGAGGGGATAAACCGGTCCGGATGGTTGGGTATTAGACTATTGGGGGGTCGTCAGATTTGAATGGAAACGTTGCCCAAGAAACATTTGTTTTTTTCATTTAGTGAGAGAGAGAGAGAGAGAGAGAGGAATTCAAATTTTGGCAGTACACAAGCGGGCTTGCCATATTCTCTTTCTATAACACGGACCCGTTGGAGTTGTGAAGGGTGGGTTGGTTTCTGACACCACCAACATCAATGTCATCAACATCTTTCAAAAAAATGAATTCTTTCTTTCTTTTTTCTTTTTTTAAACATGGGGATTTATTGGTATCACAAGCAGGATTGTGCAGGGAATGGAATTTTCGTAATGCAAGTCTTCACGGACAATGTGACAGTCATTAACCTCCAGGTCAAAAAAAGAGTCACTAATCTGATTGCTAGATTACTAGATGTGATTCAGTTCATTACCCTTTCACAGACATCATTGACCAAGTTATAATGCTTTTGTACAGAGAATAAAATGTTTGCCTGAACTTGAGGTACAGGAAGGCTAGCTATGTGCCCATTTTTTTGGTCACACAGGCACATGAATGTTTGAAGTGGATCCACCAACGGCTATCTTCACGTGATCTGGATCTTTGTCAGATTACGAGAATTTAGCAACCAATCTGAATGTTTCAAACCAACTCGGTCTCGTACGTTTAGATACGTAGAGAGATTTACCATCATATGACTTGAGAACCTTCACTTTCTCACGATAACGACACAGTACAAAGAAGAGCCAACTAGAATAATCTACAGAAATGTACAGAACTCAAATTCTCAATCGTCCAATAAACTTGAGATTCGTAATAAATAATAGCTTATCACACTACACATAAATAAGGAACAGAGGACGTTAAGAGTTCAATCTCATTAAAGCAAAACCTTATCCAGCTGCCATGCTAAAGCCAGAGGCAATATTTTGATACCATACAATTCATTCAGTACTGAAAATTTGAAATTGCAAGTGGGTACAGCATAGTTCCACTTCATGGAGCTTATGCTCACCCAATAAATGCCTACTCATGAGCCACACACGGAGAGAAAAGGAAGGCATTTATTTATTTTCTGATTGTTGAAGCGTTGTTATTGATAGCTACATCCCAGAACTAATCACAGCGAGCAAAATCCACACTGATATCCAAAACATGAATACACAATTTCAACAATTTCACCCAAAAAAAAAAACATCTATTGAGATAACTTATCCCCAGCCAACTAGAATTATTTATCCCGACATATCAAAAACAGCAAGCCACTGCAGAGCCATCAACATAGTCTTGCAGTCCCTTGCTCATCTCTAAAGGCAACAATAACTTCAGCCCAGCATCCACAGCAGCAAGCAGATGAATTAAGGTGATCCAGTCGCTCCAGGAAAGAGTTCTGATATTTTATTGAAGACGTCCATAACCTGTAGTTTATAGTTAAGCAAAATTATTAGATGATAAACTAAACCAGAATATCCAACAATGAACATGAACGGGGTTCGTAAGGAATGACTGGTTAAGGACAAGTAATGATTGAACAAAAATTTAAAATCTAGCATTAATTAAGCACAATGCACACACCACCAAGTAACCTAGGTTGCAAATCCAAATCTAATAAACAAAGGACATAAGCGTGACAAAATCAAAGCTGAGGATGTAATGGAGCATCAAGCTACCTCCTTGTCATTTTGATATTTAGTAATATTCAGCGGGTTCTGTGAACACTGCAATCACAGCATAATAAAGTAAGTCGTCGTTTTTTTTTTTCCAGGTGAAAGAAGATAGTCAGTCTTCTACTTATAAAACAAATAAATAATAGTAGTACATACATCCATGATGGCTGCCTGAACTCTAGGATTTTGAAACGCCATTGCAACATCAGGATTGGCCATTATCTTTGAAATGACCTCTTCAGGAGTAAGCCCAATTTGATCTGATGAAGGTAAAATGTTTAGAAGAAGCAAAGAGTAAGAAAAGAAAGATTCATTGTTAAAGTCAAACAAAGAAATGCATTGAAATCGTCTGAGGGGCAGAGTTACAATATAGGAAATCCTATGTTCCTGGTGGGAATAAAAACTTCCAGGGGGATAACCCACCCACTTGTTAATTGATCCTATGCGGAAGACATTTTGCTAGTAACTCTAGATTGTCAGTCTCACTAAAATAAACATGGGAATTTAAGAGTTAAGTCGTCATAGCTTTCAAAAATTCAATGAATTGTGCCAGACATTAGGATACCCATCGTGCCAGGCATACAAAGACAAATCAGTCAGCAAAGAAATTTCAACATGCTAACTAATTTGGAGGAATGATACGTTCTCTCATTCATTAAAAGTAGCATATCTTGAATATAAACTTCCAAACAAGAACATGTCTTAGATATCAGACAGTCCATCAAGAACAAGCAAGTTATGAGGATGCAATGACATTAGGGTACATAGAAACATCCAATAAGGGGAAGAAAAAAGTGGATAAAGATAGTGCTGGTGTCTTAGAATGGCAGTATAACATTTTTTTTTGGTTCCACCATACTGGTTAATTGCTTGTTTCTGAGTGGTTTCCTGCTTTATGTGTGTTTTTATGGACATTTACCTAGGGATAGTCAACGTTTTGCTTCCTTATTTAGTTCTGGTTTGTAATGAAAATAAAAATATAAAATACTTCCTTTTCTGTTGCATGGTTTTCCGCCAGATGCTTAGGGATAGTGCTATTTTCTGGCTTACATGAAATTCCTTCATCTCTGGCTTCATTTTCTGGCTTACTATAAGAGGAACAAAATTTAAGCACAGTCATTTAACTCCGGCTTTTGCTTCATCTCTTTCATAAACCATATCAAAGCAGAATCAAACAAACAAACACAATGGGTAGATAAGATAACTGACTAGATTTTGAAGTTCAATGAAACTTCTTATTTTTAACAAATATCAATATCTCACAACAGAAAATACAATCAAAAGGATTGGTTTCATGAAAATCATTGAAAGGTAGATAAGATAGCAGAGATAAAGTGGAATCAAACTTTAGAAAAGTCCAACAAAAGAGCCTAACATGTGTCAGATGCGGGCACAACTCATGTTTTGAAGTTTCTAAGCTTTATAGGGATAACCAAGAAGATGGAACCAAAAAAGAATATTAAACTTGTGAGTAGTTTTGAGTCCAGTGAAATTTAAAGCAATCGGCATAGAATGGAACTACCGTGAGGAATGAGCTTAATTCATCCAGCTCTAAAAACTAAACGTTGTTCAAGTTAATGTGAAGCAAGAGACAAAAAGTTACCAAATTGCTGCTTAACCTCAGGACTGTTCAGGTCAAAATTTTTCAAGGTGTCCATCATTCGGCCGTCCCATTCACCACTCCCACTCATATTGTTGCTGAAACCGGACATAAAGAAATATAAGAGAAGAATCTCAAATACTTTGACGCCAGGGAAGATCACACAGCAAGGTTAATCAAAACAAAAGAGTACATTTATTTATTGAACTGCAACATACAGAACGAAAATAAAAATAAAATTTGGCATTATCAAATGAAACATGAAATATTAGGAATAATTTTTAAATGTATCACTTCCCAAATCCATTCAACTAGCCATTACATACATAAAAATTTGACCAGTATGCTGGACCGCATAAGTATTCAAAACTTCTTCTCAGCTCGCATTCATGGTTAAACATGCTGTATAAATTACTCAGCAAAACATTCCTCCAATTATTATTATTATTATTATTATTATTATATTATTAATATTATATTGTAAAATTCTTTTTAAAGACACAAGAAAAAAAGCATTAATTATTGAAGGATTCATACTTTAAAAGGAAAATGACCGTCCCCTGGAAAATACCTTGCAACTAATACCCAAAAGGGATTGCAATAACTTACACTTATGGTACATAGAGCATGTCCATTAAGTCTATAATTTGAAAGTAAATCTCCTAAAATCAGAAGCCGTTGGCAAAAATAAATGAGAACAATAACTTGATTATGGATGTTTCACGAAAGGGCATGATGGCCCACAGAAAACTGAAAAATCTTGAGTATGCTGCCACAAAATGATGACTCAGAAAAGAGGAAGTCATTATCCGCCTGTGGACAATTATTCTGCCCACCTGAATACTAGCACTGAAATGTGAGAAAGTAAATAATGCATGTCAAAATTTTCTCAGCTTATTTTTCCACCAAATCAATGGATCCAATGAGAAAGCAATTGAAATAAAAAGATCCCCAGAAACAGCATGACACTGAACAGTGCATGAACTTACAGCATTTCTTCGAGTTGTTGACGGTACTGCGGATTCTGCAGCATCCCTAGTTAAGCAGCAACAATGCAACTAATTAGTTTTCATTAATCATATTAAGATGTCAGGTGGTAGAAATTAAAGTGAAGCATGACAGGTTTCTATTTTACAGTATCATATGCCAAAAGAGGAGAGAGAAAAAGATACTGAGCCCCCAGCAAAGATGAGAAATGCTGGTGTCATAAGAAATATAGACATTTTTGCACAAAAAGGACAATATTTTATATATTATAACATTTATGATTACTCAATATAATCAGAGGTCTGAAAAGGTAGGAAATTACATTTAAAGGTAGTAGGATTCCTCATCTCCTCAGGTAAATAGCTGCAGCAGTTCCAAATATAAGTCAATTTTCTTTTGGATAGCAAGGAAAAAAAAAATCAAATAATTTAAATAAGCACGAATAACAATAGTTGAAAATTTCATGGAGCATTGAGAACACAATGAATATGCTAGAAATCAACCCAATTTATTCAAAAAAAAAAAAGGGACCGAATTGACATACAAAAAAGCTCCCAACATATTACAGACAATTAAAGGGAGATGAAAACCAAACTATGCCGTCTCTTGAAGGCCGAAGAAAGATGCTATAAAAAATGAATAAAGAGGAAGAAAGGAAAAAATATCCTCCCAAAAAGAGATTTAAAGGGAAGATCAGACAGTAGTTTTCTGTCAGAATAACTCGCGTTAGGGTTCATATATACATTTGAATTGCACTGGTTACATATTTCAGCCAGAAAATAAAAATACAGAAGTCTTGGACTTTACCAGTATGATCAGTAACAGAGTTTATAAGAAAACTACATGTACAGTAAAGAAAAACAAGATTAGGAAGGGGGAGGAATTAAGATAAAAAAGACAAAAACAAAGGGCAAAGTCCTGAAAGAAAAACAATGTAGGCTCCAATATCAACTGCCAGCAACTGACATGTTAAAGTTAAAAGTACATTTCATCCTAGCTCTCTGTTGTTTGTAATAGGTAATAGGAAAAGTCTCGTATAGAAGTACAATTATAAGGTGATGAAAGCCACCAAAGGAAAACAAATAATAAACTAAAAAAGTGAAGGATTCACCTAAAACCCCTCAATGTCACGCAACATGCGGAGAATAAAAAGGCAAATAATACAACATAAAAATTGAACTTAAAACATTGCCTAAGGAAGTAGAACCAAAAAGGAAACAAATAAGCTTCTTAAGCATGATTAGAAGTGCAATTTAAAGCATATGCAGGGAAAGGAGCACTACATAGACAGCCTCACAGCCAAGAGTAGACATTTACTGAGAATCCAAAATCATAATCACTAAGTCAAAAGGAATTAATATTACGGATAAACCATCTTCTGCACTGTTGGGTCTTCCATCATTTTCTCCAAGGCTTCGACTGATAAGACTGATTTTCCTAACCAAAAAATGAACAAGGTCAAATTTAACATTTGGTTAAACCAGAATGCAGCCATTTAAAGCAACATTGAAAGAACAGAGTCACAGACAATTTTTTTTTTTTTTCGGTAGGGGACAATTACCCATGACACCCACTCGCCCACCCATATTTACACTCCTCCATAGGAAGGAAACACACCCACCACAATTTCCCACTCTGGGGTTCAAACACACATCCTCCTTGTTACAGGAGTGTCGGTTCTGATGTGACTGGCGAGTCAGGGATAATATATGTTCCGTGATTGCAGCCAAACAAAACCTCAACTGACTTCAACCCATAGCATCAATGCTACTAGTAAACAATACTTTTCCGAACCAGTACTAATAAACAAAGAAAACCTCACTTGTGGCTTCCGTAAGGTTGTCTTATCCTTCTTCTTATGTAATTTACAACTCCAGTTACTGAGAGATGCAAGGATTTTGAACCAGTACGAAGACCAGGTCATTTAATCTTTGAAGAAGTTATTTTTTTACTAATACATCTTTAATTTGAAGCTACCACAATAAATTTAATAATTATATTTTTTTTTATCCTAACCCTATCAGAAGCAGTTATTTACGTAAAAAAGAATATCATCATAAAGTTAACTTTAACATTTTCGATGCTAAAATTAATGTACATCTTTAATACTTTAAAGTTGTAATACTTAGCTATCAAAAAGTATCTTCAGATTAATATCATTTAGCATCCTAGTAGCATATTTTAAAATGCATTTTAATATAAATCAACATGATGACAGGAACCAAGCTCCACAATAGATAATAACTAACAGATAATAATCTGGAGTGTAAGTTTAATAAATTAAGCTACAAATACAAGTGAGATGAAAGAAAGCTACACTGATAACTTAGACACAGAAACACAAACACTCAAACACACAACTCCTCCACCATTCAAGAGGCTAGAGTCACTCCCAAACAACACTCACTAATTGCTTGCCCTCCCACTTTAACCAACTACCTCATATATATTCCTCCCCACTAGCCTACTCCCACACGCACACAGACACACACATCTGAAAGCCTCCAAGTATCTCAGTCTTGGCCCATTACTAATGGGCCAATCAGTATACAATGGAAAATGAAGAGGAATGTAGGACTTCTGCGAAGTAAAAGCATGTTCACTTTTTGTGGGGTATAGCGCACTGAAATTGTGTCAGACCCAGCAAAATTACCTAATGTAAGGATCAGCTTCATAGAAAAAGCACCTGGTCTGTTTAGCTTATTTGTAGACTGGGTATAGCACAATGAATTGAGCCAAACCCAGCATCTGTGGCGTGTGTAAAGGTCAGTTTCCTGACTCCATTAGCACTAGGGTTGTGGGCTTCCCTGTTAAATTAGCTATCTGCACTTTGACCAAGATGGATGTGGAGTGGTATGATTTCTTCAGACAATGGATATAGGAGGGTAAATTTGAAGGCAGACTTGGAGGTGATTGTGCTGGATGATATAGGTGGGCTCTCTGGTGCTGCTAGCAGATTGGCAATTTTACAGGGAATTCAGTAGTGGTGTAGATTGGTTGCAAACTATGCTTGCTCAGTGGATTTTTGTTTGCAAGGTCTAAAGGACGGAATGGCATCTAGATGGCCTCGTGGATTTTGCATTCTGTTACTTTGTCTTGTGTATAAGCACCATTTAAACAAAATAGCTATATGTATAATTATATCAGCTTGGCAAAACAAGAGAAAACAGTTTTTAATAGAACAGTGGCCATGAATTTCTTCAAAGTTCCAGGAAGAGTGGAAATATAATGTGTTTCAACTGACTCTTCACTTACCTGAAGATTGATAACCAGGTGACCCACCAAAACCCTGGTTAGGTGGTGCTGCTCCATTTTGAGAAACCTTCAATTAATACACATGGATGGTCACATTTTTAAGAACGTAACTTGATTAGCAAAAACTTAAATCTTAAAAACTCACTTCATCAGGAACCCGAGTTTCCTTGGTGGTACTTGGTTCACTAACATCTTTGAAGCTTTCAAATGGATTTTTCGGTTGAGTTTCTTCAGGAGAAACATCTACAAAAGCTGTGATGGAAATTTTATCAGGAACAGGAAAAGTTTCAATACTTGTGCAATAAAAGTACACAAATATGGAAATTGACATCATCAAGCAGTATCATATCTACTACCAAGGAAGATAAACTCAGGAAGCATTTGACTATGTCCCAAAATTTCAAAAAATCTAATTAAATATTAAGCATTTGTTAGTAATATAAATGATGGTGCAGGTGAAAGAACAGTTTCAATTTCAAACGAAATAATTTTATATATTGAAATCCTAACTCCATAGCCAAACAAAGGATATGCGACTATTGATATCCATTGTAATGAGAGACAGGTACCCATGCTAATGCCCCGTCGGTACAATGGAAGTGACTTCGATGGAAATGGAAATAGATATGGAAGTAGATATGGAATGGATATGGGGTTTAAAACATGATTGGTATGTCTATGGAATCATGGTATAATTTTCATTCAAAAGACCAAAATACCCTCCCTTAAAACTACACTAGCAAAACCATAACATCGTCCAAAACCTTTTTTCCTTTTACCCAATTCAATTTTGCTTTTATTCAATTTAAAATTAACCATGAAAGGTGACCAGATCTGGGCGTGGACTTGGCAAAGGGAAAATCGTCCAAAGCAACCTGGAGGGAAATGAAGAACATACTTGGCATTAAGGTTGGGACCTCCTATGTATATAATAAACAAATGACCACCACCTAGAGATGAGATCGAAGCAGCCATGGCCTGGTCTTTCTTGGAGGAGAGGAGGTGGAAGAAGCACTTGATGAGGGCATGTTTGGGCTTGGAGGAGTCAAGGTAGGAGTAGATGTGGCAGGCTGCCGGTGAAGGTGATGGAGGGCATGCAGGTGAAAATGAAGATGTCACGCTTCTCGATCTTGAAGACATTGAAGAGGATGGGGGAGCTAAGGGCGCCAAGGAACAGATTTTCCACATGAACTGAATTTTGATGCCAAGAAATTGTGGAATTTGTGCTATAATTGGATGCTCCATCGGTAATGTCTCACAAACCCTATTCTTCAGCTGTCTTATCATTTATAAGCTTTATCTTATATTCTTGGACAAATCACTGCTTCCATACCAGCTACTCTATAAATTTCTTTCCAATTCTCCTTTTAAACTAAAATTTTCTTCCCTATTCATTTCTGCCTTCGATTATTATTCTTCAGCACTGCAACTTAATCATCTTATGGTTTTCATATTAACAATTTACAATTGGTGTATTTCTATTTACTTGCAGGATTCCAAAAATGTCTAAAGCACATATTTCAAATACAATCAAGGATTATTAGCTTCTGAACTGTTGTTTCACCCCAAGCACAGCCTTTTTTATGTAATTGTTAAGTTATAATACTCCTATCAGCTTATGTGCCTCTTTTTGTTTCCATTTTTTGCCTTAAGAATGAATATACTATATTGGTTAATTTTGCTATCATATCACATTCAAACATGATCTATGGAAAGTTTGCTAATTTTATCTAAAAGCGAAGCAGCAAAAGAATCACTGTTTTAGGTTTGTTGAAGTACTTTCCAGCGTTAAAGCATCAAATCTATTGTAAACTTCACAGCATTTAAATTGAGAAATTGAACTCAGCAGAAAATTTATCCCCTCTGTTACATGGGATTAATAATTATTGGAAACTGGTTGAGGGTTTTAATTAGTTAGGGGACTCTCCAATTAGCATAAATAGGGAGATATAGTGATGTTAGGAGTGTCTCGTGTTGAATATTACTTCCTACATCTTATATGTGCCACTCTCCCCCCAAAAGAGAATAAATAATGGCAGAAAATTCAAGGTGTATTTTTGAACCAGGAAAAACAAAAGAACTAGGGCAATTATTTAACAGGCACATCTCCTAGTGGGAACATATTCCCTGCATTAAGAAGTTCAAGAGCAATGTCTGATCCAAAAGAAAGAGAAATGGAAGGAGTAAGCAGACTTTCTTGCTGTTACCAATTTTTTTGGGTTCTTTCTTTGATTGTGTTTCATCCTGGACATTGGTGGCCGAAGCTGCCTCTACTTTTGTTGCAGGTATATCTACAGTGACAGCAGATTGCGGTGCGCTTGATGCTGTAGATGTTTGAGATTGAGGAGAAGCAGCAGGCGCAGCGGGGCCTGCTGCCGAAGGCACAGGGAATGGATAAGATCCAGGAGAAAAGGGAGGACTGTTAAACTGGTTACTCTGTGAATTCATCTGGCTCATCATGGTCTTGAAAGCTTGTTGCATTGCATAATTCTGAAAGAAGATCATAAGATAATGTTATAGACAGAATTCATGAGGATGGAAAATATCAAGTGCGACGGGAACTCTCCCCCAACAGATATATATTAAGGTGGAAGTGCCAACTTATTTAAATAACCGATTGAGCATCCTAGATTGCTTTATATGGGACCCAAGCATCCCAGACTGCCCAGGTCTCCATCAACTGGCCTCCCTTAGAGAGCCAATGTCCTAGTGGGTGCACTCTATGACACTTCACTAGACTTCCTCAATAGCCAAACCTCTACATAGGTAGCCCCCCTTTCAAAATTGTCAACCACTAGTTATAATACAAATTGATGGGTATTCAAATGGTTTAGAAAACCCTCTCTCAAAAGCTAGCTATTAAGGTGCTAAAATCAACCTAGTTAAATATCCCACCCATTGAGCATCCCATACTTCTCAATGTGACACTTCCACATCCAGTAATACCTAAATATCCATTAAAAAACATGCCTTGCATTCACAATATACATTCATGAAGAAGTGAAATTTTGCTTTAAACTACTTAAACCATTCCACATCCAACAACGAGGGCATGCAATGAACAGGGATTTCATCATATCCATAACCAACCACCTGAATAGAATTCATATTTCATAGTATTTCCCAAATCCTGAGCACAAAACTCAAATCTACCCTTATTAATCCATATTACAAATCGCAGACTTGTACCAATGGGAAGAAATCCAATTCCATTTAACAGGACAGAATAAAATATGATGGAAAAAATCACTTCTGATAAAAAATTAGCAAAGAAACTACATGGGAAGTAACACATACAGCTTTTACTCTAAATGAAATAATTAAAAATCAAATAGGAAAAAGCAAAAAATAAGTAAATAAATAATAATGATAACAAGAGCCGCAACATATTCTCTGTAAGAGTGTGTTCAGATGGGATAAACAAAGGAGTGGAAGGGAATATTTTGCTGGAAGTTTTATACTTTGAGAAAGAGATGGAATAGCAAGGGGACAGTTAAGCATTTTATCCAAAAGAAAACAACTTATTAGGAGGATGCAAATTAAGGGAGAAAAAATAAGATGAAAAAGCATACAAAACATTTCCTGCTCAGGTTCATAGGCATTAAAAAAAAATTGAACGAAAATGTTTGGTCTGGCTTGACCACTCAGTGGCTTCTCCATACAAATTTTTTTTTAAAAAAAAAAAAAAGCTTCCTAGAAGTTTTACTCTTACTTGAAATTGAAATCAATTTCCTGATAATGCAGTGTTCTTCAGTGAATACGCATATCACAATCAGCTTTCTCAGTCCTTTGCAGACTATAGAAGATTAATTAATTGACATGGCGGACCCTATTTAAAACTAACATAAACATCCTTCAGAGTTTGAATCTCACTATTACGGTTTGCTTGTTTCACTTTAAAAGCAGAAGCATGAATTAACGATATCTATTGACTGAGATCAGAGGCATCAAGAATCAAACCAAATTATTTTTTATGGTTAAGGAAATTCTTGCTGCAACTGTAAATCTAGCTGACCTTTAATATCAATATCATGATTTCTGCAATGGGATTATCCAAACCATGGCAGGAGGGTTAAGTTCTACAGCTAATCATTCTTTATGGAATAGACAATTGTAAGTTATCTTATGCGAAGAATTACCATAAACTCAAAGTACACACCAGCTTATGCCCATGTACTGCAAGAAATTGACACTCACCTTTACCCTCGTAGATACCTGCAAAACACTTAACTAGTTAAACAGGCAGCATGGAAAAGCCTAATTGATACATATCGCACAGAATAATGATTACAATTCTCACCCATGAGAAAAGTGCGGATAGCCCAACACCAACACCGATCCAGAACAGTGGCGACCCTCTATAAATATATAGAAAAATGGAATAAAAACGAGAAATTTTAAGCAAATCAAAATGTGTGTATGCACATATGAATTTTCAAAAAATCATTACTCTCAGTCTCTCACTATGACAACAATTTGAGGAAAATAAGGACATAAATGTAGAATGACCAAGAGGTACAGTATCCGAGAGATTAGTTGATTACATAGTTGAGGACGGAGGTGGTACTGAATACTGTGAGTTAACTCCAATAGATGATGTTTCTTGACTATTTGATGAGGAAATGCTAGCGAAATGCTCCACTATCAACGTCTCCTGCACTGTTAGCAGGTCTTACATTATGTCTCAAAAGAGTTTAACAGAAAACATTGAGATACATTCAGCTTCTACCACACATTCGTCAATCAGAAAACAAGAGGGGAAGGAGAAATAAATCGTGGATATGGTCGCCAAATTTGAAAGTATGCTGAGATCAAGTCAATGAATTTTTAACATGGATGCACATCAAATCAAAACACTATTGCTTCAGTTTGCTATAAAAACAATAATTAAACCTCTCTCATCAGCACTATGTCAATTCCGACATCTACTAATACAGTAATACTATTCGCCAACCTATTCATCATCTCATCTAGATATAGAACAACTTCACTTTCTACATGGATCATCGTGACTCTCTTTCTAAGAAGCTAGGTGATTAAACATGATTGATATACAAAGTATTTCTCTATTCTTAAATCTACCCCGCACGGACAAGATAGCAGAATTCAACACAAATTTAATTGTATGACTTACGAAAACTGAAAACCTTTGAGAATCTAAATGTAGCATGTCAAGAGCACTGCGTTATATTATTTTGATATCTCTTACCATACATCATAGAACCAGAAGAACCAGCATTCAATTATATATACAATTTAATATATTTCAGCGATAAGACCCTGACACTTCTAATTACGGTAAAGAGCATTGCATGAGAACCTACCACAGCCCAGCACATTCCCCGAAGCCCGAATCCTTAAAAGCAAAAAAAAAAATGCAATAGAGGAGATAATAAGAGATTTACCAGATTTTGGGTTTTGCTGGGTTTAGCGGCAGCCCGATGAACATGAGAACGGGAGAGAGCAGACACGGAACGTCTAGAATAAGGACTTATTGCGGTTCCGAATGAAAAAGGCTTTCTTCTAAAGACGTCTTTAATGGAGTTTCGTGCAGGAAACTGGCCCAGCAACGCGTGTTTTGGAGAAGATGTTAGGGTTAGATTAAGGTTCTCCATATTTTACAGTCTATGGAGTTCAAAAGAAAAGATAAATAATAAAAGTGCAGGGCAAGCGGAAGAAGGTATTGAAGTAGAACGCCGGGGAGTGAGTAAAATTCTGAATTCTTTACGCACTTCGCTGTCTGGGATTTCAACTTTCAGCCCAGCGACGTTGTAAAGAAGAAAGATAGAAAGCGGCAGGGGAGAGGAGTTGGTTGTGTGCAGCTGATGAGCAGTTTTTGGACTTGGCGGCGTCTAGGCCGGGATGAGTCAAATAAACCTCAACGTTGCAACATATGACTTGATTGAACAGAGGGTTATTTTAAAACAAAAGGCGATATAATATCCACACAGCGAAAATATAACGTTTAGTTTTTACACTTAGTTTACATTTTTTTTTAATTTCTGCATTTTTTTTATTTTAAATTTTTATAATTTTATTTTTTATTATTTTTAATTACTCCATGAACAAAACATAAGAATCTTGGAGAATAATAAAAATTAAAAGTATAAAAATTAAAACATCAAAAAAAGATGCAGTGATCAAAAATAAAACACAAGCAAAGTATAAAAATCGAAAGATGTTTTCTCATCTATATATTATCTGTCTACTATTTTTCAAGATTGTTTTTGTTAAATTTTAATGTATATATTTTTTACTAATATAATCTAACTATTTTTCCCTTGTACCTTGGCCATTAAAAATATAATCTTAATACAAAAATAAATAAGTTTTTTTTTTTGTAAGAAAGAGGGCTGAGCCTAGGTGAATATATTAAAGTTACTTAGAAAGGGGACTGAAATCCCAAAATATCAAAAGAAACTAAACTCCTAACAAAACTAGGAGCAACACCAAATAAAGAAGAATAAGATAGCCTTCTTTAACTAACCTATTAGCTATAAGATTTTTCTCTCCGGGAACATACTGAAAAGTAATATCCTGGTCCCACTGAGTCATATTAAGAATCTACAGTAAAACCATGCTACTCAAGTTGTTTACTCTTCTGTACGTTGAAGTTGACCAAGAAGGCTTTTGCATCAAATTCTAACATAACCTTCTTGAAATCCAAAATCCCAAACACGACGTAAGCTTCTTAATGTGGCCCACTCCTCTGCCTCATAAGCACTGCAAGAACCTAGGTGATGACAAAGTCTAGCAATCCAATGCCCAGTGTGATCTCTCAAAAAACCATCACATCCAGCTTGACCACCAATAATGACCGTGGCTCCATCCATATTAAATTTGACCCAGCCACTAGGAGGAGGTGTCTATTCCATTAAGTTGGCCTCGGTGTTAGAATGAGTGAAATCATTCGGAGCGTCCCGATTAATGAAACTCTTCTAGCTAAACATAATTATTGTCTAAGGATCACCAAGTTTTTGGAAATTGCAATCAAAAGTATAACTATTACGTCATTTCCATAATTTCCAAACCACAACTCCCTATAGAAGTCCCCGTTCCATAGCACTTCCAGCACCAAAATTCTGTTTAAGATTGGCCTCAATCCAATCCTTTAGAGAAGTAGAGAAAAGATAGAATGGTACCTTTGCTTGACAAGTCTCCTCCAAATTTGTTGAGCGTAAGAACAATCACATGTAATGTGGATGATGTTTTCCACTTCAGAATTGCACCAATTACAATAAGGGGAGCTTTGTGATCACGAGCTTCTCCAATCATTTATAGGTAACCGAGCATGATAAATTTGCCATGGAAAGAAACGTATTCGCTTTGCACCTTGCCACTTCCAAATACGCTTGAAATGGAATTGTCAGTAGTCGAAGGATTTTTTTCAATTAGGTAGTATGCACTCTTGATAGTAAAGAAGCCATTTTTATTTCCACTCCATGTCATAATGTCATTCCCACTACATTCCATTAGGGGTAGAATGGCAATCAATTTTTGCATCACCTCCACTAAACAATAAGAGCAAGCCAAATGTAATTCCAAACACCATATCTAGTCCAATCAACAACCTCGCTTTTCAACTCCTCCTATGACAATGGTCTCAAGCAAAAATCTTTAATTTTTTTATCAAGGAACAACTAGAAATCATCAAAAAAATGTACACATTCGCCATTTCATATTTGCTATCTTGTCCCTTCCTTTAGGATGTCTTTCTGTTCACAAATGAATTTCTATAGAGCTGAATCACCACTTTTAGCAACAAGGAGGTTGTTTTCATTTCTTAGCATATACTTGTTTTGCAGAATATCCACCCAGAGTTTCTTACTCCCTGTGACAAGATTCCAAGCCAACTTAGTTCCAAAAGCTTAATTAACAGAATTTAGGCACTTGAACCCAATCCTCCATGTACTTTCGATAATATTAAAGTTTGCCAACTAAGCGGATGATAGCATGTGACTAATATTTATTCTAGATAAAATTTCTTTATAGCCTCTCAATCTCATGACAAATTTTGATCAGCACATTCGCTACTTGTATTGGATATGTTGGAATAGAACTTAACACTGATTTAGCTGGAGTGGCTCTTTTGGCTGTTGAGAGGCAATTCACTTTCTACCCAACTAGCTTAGTTTTGACTATATCCATAATATAACTGAATTTATCCATCCTTTTCCTATTTCTTGTAAGTAGGAATCTTAAGTACACCCCAATGTCAGAAGAAACTTTCATTTCAATGCAACTTTAATCGTTCCTCTTAGGTATGATGACACCTTTGGAGAGAAGAATAAGGAGGACTTGTGCTTCTTAACTTTAGCACCCAAAACCCTAGAGAAAACATTCAAACAATCCATCATAATGGAAGCTTGTTTCTCTGATGCTTCTCTGAATAAGAGTAGATCATTTGTAACTATAAGATGGGACACTATTGGTCCTTCTTTTGTCACAAAAATTGGTTTTCAATTCCCTACTTCCACAGCATTATTTATGATATAAGACAACCTATCCATACACAATACAAATAAGAAGGGAAAGATAGGATCCCTTTGACGGAGTCCTCTCTTAGGATTAAAGTAATGAGATTGTTTCCCATTCCATGAGACATTAAATGAGACAAAAGAAATACAATTCATAATAGGATTAATGAGATTAGAATTCAAACCAGCCTCAATAAGTACTTAATGCAGAAAATCCCATTTGATTCAGTCATATGCCTTTTCCAAGTCGATCTTCATTGCTAAAAGGTGGTGGCTTTTTCCAGCTTTATTCATGGTGTGCATCAATTCTTATCCTACTAATAATATTATCCTGTATCTGCCTCCCAGGCATGAAGCTGCTTGGAATGGTAGATTAAATCATCCATACTGCCTTCAACCTTTTGGTGATTATCTTGGTAATGCACTTATAGTAAACTGTACACAAAGCAATTGGTCTAAAATGGGATACAAATTCAGGTTTTTCTCTTTTAGGAATTAAAGAAATGAGGGTCTTGTTTGATTCAATCACTGAGATGTCACCTTTGAAAATCTTCTTGACAAAGTTACAAAGAGAATGGCCTGTTTTTTCCTAGTTAGCTTGGAAAAAGATAGGGAAGAAACCATCAAACCCAGGTGCTTTGAAGGACCCCATAAAGAATAGTGCACTTTTAATTTCTTCATTTGAAGTATTATAACAAGAGACTCATTGGAACTTTGATCAATTAAAGGGAAAGAAGACCTAGTTTATAAGCAGGTCAAATCTTTACCTTCCTTATCTTTGTCATACAAACTCTAGAAAAAGTTTGAGATTATTGCCTGTAAATCTTAATCATTCTCTACCCAATTTCCAGAATCATCTTCAAGAGTTGTGATCCTATTTTGTCTCCTTCTTGCAGTGGTCTTTAAGTAATAGTATCGAGTATTTCGATCACACTTATTAATCTACTCTATTTTGGCACTTTTGAAACCATTTCAATTCTTCAAGTTTAAAAGATCCTCAAGTTCCTTCTGAAGGTCAAGTTCAAGATTTTTTAGAAAAGAAGAGTAGGGATGAGCTAAAGCTTTCTAGATGCCATTAAGGCATGCCAGCACATTTCCTTTCTTCATTTCAATAAATCCAAAACCTCTCTATTCCAAATAAGGATATCTTTTTTAAATCAATCCAAATCAGAGCCAACATCATTAAAGTTTCTCCAGTTTTCTTAAGAAAATCTTCAAAATTTTCATGTCATAACCGCATTGGCTCAAATCGAAAGGGTTTAAAACCAGTGAAAGGGTACTCTTTTTCGTCTAATTAAATGCATATGGGATTATGATTAGAGAAGGAGATTAAGATAGTACCTTAACTTTACAGTCAAGGAAACAAGTAAGAAATTAAGGATTAGCCAAAGCATGATCGAGTCTTTCATAAAGCCTCACAAAGCCCATGTACTGAGGTCCTTTCCGGGTAAATCTAGGCCCTGAAGCACCCAAATCAATAAGGTTTCACTTATCAATTTTACTTCTGAACTAGTGTTGTCTTAGAAAATTTCTTCCTACTCCACCTATGCATTCCGAGGGAAGAACAACACCATTGAAATCCCCAAAGATTGTTTAGGGGTTTGAGATTGACATTGCAAGGTTGGAAATCTTTTACCATATAACTTCTTTGAAGTTTGAATGGGGTAAGGCATATGTGGCCGTGGCTAGAAATGATAAACCATCATCCAAATGACCCCTCAAATGAATAAACTGTCGGTCCTATTTTAAAACTTGTATCTGTACTTGCTCACTCTTTTAGATTGCCACTATTCCTTTTAAATTTCTAACACTGGGAATGACTCTAATAGAATTGAATCCTACCATCTTCAACTTTCTAAGCCTTAACTCTTCTTCACATTGTGTGTTAGCTAGCACTACAAGGTTTGGTTTTAGACCATCTAAAACTAGTTTCAGATTGTAAAGGAGGCTTTGACCACATGCCCCTCATGCATTCCAATAAAATAATTTATTAAACCTAAATAATTAATAACTGTAAGTAAGCCCAAAGCAACCTAAAGTCTAAAGTCAACTTGGGTTTCAGGTACCATGAAGTTCAACAAGTCATTACTCAAATTGGGTTCCAGTTGAAGGGATACTAAAAGATTCAGCCCAAGCTCTCCTAGGTCTAAGTCCTCTTTCATTTCATTTGTGGCATCCTAAAACTTAAGGGATTCCGCCATAAATCTTGAGTAGGCCTTAAGGTGCTCTTTATGGATTGGGCTTCCTTACTACCACTCTCTTCCCAGGTGAGCATTAGTAATTCGTTACTCTTAATTTGATTTTGTAGCATTTCCCTCATTCTTTTTTCTGCTCATTTCCTACAGGCCCTTTCTTGTACTGCCTCGTTCATCTATTACTATTAAGCCACCTCTTGTTCTACAATCTT